TCCTCTTTCCCCTCGGGTAGTGTCCTAATAACTGTAGCCTAGACCTGATAGACCTGAGATTTCCTGTGGTCCACTGGAAGCAGTCCTTTGTGTGGTCCATCTTCTGTTGGGGTTTTCTTTAGGCCTCCTTGGTGTTGAGGAGGAGTCACTAGTGACCTGACCCTCTGCTCTGCTCCCCTATTAGAGTCACCCCTTTCGCAGGTCCCAGGTCCTAATCTTGGAGTCCTGAAGAAGACACTGCACTAGCAAAGCACAGGTGAAAGCCCTTCTTCTAATTAGCAAGACACTTCCATTTCCTACTCCCTAGTTGGGAGATGGGGTTTGGATGCAAATCCTTCCTAGGTTGGGTACCTCCCTGAGTGTGGAATCCCGGTCTCTTCTGGATTTGGGCGTCTCGTGCTTCCAAAATCAAGGAAGCCAGGCTGGGAGTCAGAGCATGTCCAGCAGAGCCTGATAATCTTCTTGAGTGAGAGGCAGCTCAGGCGTCGTGTCCATTGCCTCCAGCTCCAGATGGGCTGACGAGTGCTCGTCCACTTGGACTTGGGTCAGCACTTGATCAAGGAAGAAATCCAGAGGGTCTGGGTTGCTTGCTTGAGTTGGGGCGTGTGCTTGGGCTGGTCCAGAGGGCTCTTGCAATTGGGATGTTGGACATTCTGTGCAGAAGGCTGACAGGTCGCTGGGATTGGATGTATCATCCATGGACACGCCTCGGGCGGGAGCCAGTGGCAATAAGCTGTCCTGGGCACCTTCAAGCTCCCTGCCACCCAGTACTCCATGGAGATTCAGAGGGGCTGGCACAAGGTCCTCCGCTTGGATTTGGTCTAGCTGTTGACAAAGGAGGAGCTGGAGAGTGCCCTTGGTACTTCCTTGATTTGGGGCCTCTTCTTGCTCTGGTACCAAGCGCTCTTCCAATTGGGATGGCTGGGCCTCTGTGCAGAAGGTTGGCAGGTCGCTGGGATTCGAGGTATCTGTAACCCCTGCGGCCACCAGTTGCAACAAGCTGTCCGGGACGCCTTCATGCTCTCTGCCACCAGGACCTCCAGGGGCCTCATCCTCCCCACGTGAGTCCAGCAAGTCTTGACCTTGAGCAGCGGGCCTGCCTCTGTTGATGTGCCGCACTCGTCTGTTCTGAAACCAGATGTGGATCGTGTCCTCGGGCAAACCTGTCCTCTGTGCCAGCTCCTCCCTAGTAGCAAAGCCTGGCCGTGGGTTCCTCTCAAAGGCTTCCAATAGGATCCTGCTCTGTGGCAAGGTGATTCGAGTGCGAGGCCGCCTGTGGTCTGAGGGCATGCCTCCACCTTGTGCCCTGGAACCAAACTCTTTCTGGAGCTTTCGGGAGGCCAGCTTTCTGGAGCCTGCTGTGGACCGATTTGGGGCGTGCCCCACAGCTCCAGTGCGACTTCTGCGGTTCTGAAACCACACGCGGATGCGGGAATCGGTTACCCCCATTTGCCCGGCCAGATCCTGCCTGGCTGCGAAGCTCAGGTATTTGCTCTTGCTGAAAGCTGACAGCAGGGCCTGCTCTTGCCAGGCCTGCCAAACCGTCTTCCTTCGCGGGGATTCCCGAGCCACGCTGCTAACATCCACATTGCTACCAGCTTCCATGCTGCTAACAAAGGTCTGCAGGAAATATCACCCTGGACGAGCTACTCACTTCAGCTCCAGAACAAGCACAAGCTCCAGCAAGTGTCAGCAGTCTGGCTGGGGCCACTCACTGTCCCTTATATACCTCTGCCTCTACCCCGCTAGCCCCGCCCACCCGAGAGGCACCTTGTTCTACAGACAACCAAAACCCCTCCTTCAGGGTCAGGACAAGAAGCGCCACACCTGCCATGCCTGGCACCTGAGAACAGGGAAACCGGAAGCAGACCTCCAGCGTTCTCTGGAACTCACCAAAGTCTCCCCAAAGGCTCCTGATCCATTGCAAGCCACAGGGTCCCCATCCTACACCCAAACCCAGGAAGCAGAAAGGAGTCATAAGACTCACCATTCCCATCACACATATCATCCACCGACTGAGCACAATCAAGGCCTGGTAGGAGACAGAGTTAGCAGGAGCTTGGGGGCAAGGTCAGCAGGCTTCACAAAAGGCTGGAGAATTGAAGTTGGCCTTCCAGGCATCCCTAGACAGACAGATTCAATGCTGATTTCCTCCCATGGGGATTCACACAGGTTAGAAGGAGAAGACTCCCCCACTGAGAATTCCCAACCTCATGGCCTGAGATCCAAAGGCATCAACACCTCCTCGCTATCTCTACAGTGTATCAGACCCCTTACATGGCTTTCCAAATATGGATTTGCTTCGAGGACAACCTTGGAACTTCACCAGATCGTGGATCAAACTTCAAAACCAAACTGCCCCCAAGAACCTAGCAGCACAAACAACACACTGGGAG